TCCTTAATTTTTTTATATTTTTTAGTACCCCTCAAAAAAGCCTTTCTGGTAAATTTTCAGATTTTTTTTGATTACTTGTTCAAAAGATATAAAATTTTCAAAAAAAACGCTCTTTTTTTGGTTTTTTGATCATAACTTTCTTAATAATGGTCCAAATTAAAGCTTTTTTTTATAAAAATATTTGTTTTTAGATGGCCTTTACAGATAAAAATACAAAAGAAATATTCAAAGTGTTTTTGATTAAGATTTTTAAGTTTAAAATTTTAAATCGTGTTTTTGAAAGTGAGTGTATCTTTCGATTTTTGTGAAAATTTTCTATTTCAAACTACTATTCTTTTAACAACTTTTAGGACCGGTCCGGTCGTGGGCCCTCCATAATTACTTTTTTTTTTTTGATTTTTGAAATTTAAAACAAAATTTTTCTCTATAAATCATTATAAGTACCGATTTTTGTATACCCTTTTTTACTTATTTTAAATTAATATTAATACTTTTTAATTATTAATAGGTGTTTAAAATCAATAAGTAAACGTAGTCTATTTATAAACAATGATAACAAACGTTTTTATTTATTTTCGTGTTCTTTTAAAAATTGTTGCAAAATTATTTTATAATTTTTTTTTTGTTGCAAAGTATTTTTTTTTATTTAAATAATAGTATCTTTATGAATTTCTATTCTATTTAAAAAGAGTCGCACATCTTATGATTATTATTGATGTCAAATTTTCACCTGAGAAACACTATTTAGATGCAAAAGAAAAATTAAATTTGCGATACAATATAGGGACCCAAAAATTTCATTCAATCATTCTAAGGAGCAATGGAAATATATTAGGTAAGGAGTATTCTAGTTTACAAAATAATATTTTGTTCCTTGGAATGATTGAATGAAATTTTGGGTTTGTTTGGGTTTGGCTGTATTGTAACGCAAATCTAATATTTTTTGCATCTAAATAGTGTTTCTCAGCTGAAAATTTGACAGCAATATTCATAAGATGTGCGACTCTTTTTAAATTGGATAGAAATTCATAAAGATACTATTATTTAAATAAAAAAAATACTTTGCAACAAAAAATAGCATTGATAAAATAATTTTTAAAAGAACACGAAAATAAATAAACACGTTTGTTATAATTGTTTATAAATAGACAACGTTTAATTATTGATTTTAAACACCTATTAATAATTAAAAAGTATTCAAATTAATTTAAAATAAGTAAAAAGAAAGTAGACAGTGACAAAAATCAGTACTTATGATTTATATAGATATTTTTTTTAATTTTCAAAAATCAAAAAAAAATAGTAATTATGGAGGGCCCATGACCGGACCGGTCCTAAAAGTTGTTAAAAGAATAGTAGTTTGAAATAAAATATTTTCACAAAAATCGAAAGACTCAAAAATACGATTTAAAATTTCAAACTCAAAAATCTTAATCAAAAACACTTTGAATATTTTTTTTGTATTTTTATCTGTAAAGGCCATCTAAAAACAAAGATTTTTATAAAAAAAAGCTTTAATTTGGACCATTATTAAGAAAGTTATGACCAAAAAACCAAAAAAGAGCGTTTTTTTTGAAAATTTTATAACTTTTGAACAAGTAATCAAAAAAATCTGAAAATATACCAGAAAGGATTTTTTGAGGGGTACTAAAAAATATAAAAAAAAATTAAGGAAATCGAAAATTTTAATTTTTCGAACCGTCCGATTTGGCGTGGAATGCCCCATATATATAATTTAATCTATCTATTCTATCAATTTAAACGCAATGGGTAGTCCGGTCCTGCAAACATTATCGACCCATATCAGTAATTTGACATTAATTCTATCGAAATCATTACGTTGTCCAAATACCTGTAGGTAATAAATTAATTTCAAAATGGATGTTAATTAATGAAGGACCTAATTTTAAAATTCAATGCCCGAAATTGAAATAATAATAGAATATTATATTGGCGCACAGATTCTGTTGGAATTATAGTGAAAGTTCGCCAAATTACTTCGTAAAATGGTATTTGGTACCGATATTGTACAGCAATTTCATTGTGGTTTTAATACGCTTTTGTAGTTGGTATGTAATTACATAATTTTTTTTTGTAAATTGTTACAATTGTATGTATTGTCACTGAACCCTGCGGAGTTTCTTACAAAGTAAAAGAAATAATATCTAATTGGAATCAAATTTACAGTTCAATAAGACTTTATAGTTAATTACCTTTTTCTGGAAGATTGTAACATAGAACTCTACAATTCCAAGCAATATTTGGCTAAGCAAGCATAGTGTCATAAAATAATTCTTTAGTGCTCTTTCGATGCACCGGTATATTTCATTATTGATTCGTTTTTTCCACAGGTGATAAAATACTCAAATAAACAGAGATAACATACAGGGTGTCTCACGGTGCCGGCCCATTAGAATTATTTCAGAGACTACTTCAATTTGAATTTTAAAAATTTGAGGTACCGGGTTTTCGGGCATGCCCTTCTCAACTAAAATAATGGCGTCCACGTACCACTTCCGGTTATACCGGAAGTCGCCATCAACTTGCTTATTTTAAGTGGAATACCCTATATATTATTGCAATTTTGGATTCTACGTGTTATTTTATGTGGACTTTTATGAAGTTTCCCTATTCCTAAAATTAACCGTTTTCGAGATATTTAATATTTTTCAAAAAATGGAGAGAAACAGTGACTAACTTCAAACCGTGTGTATTTGATAATAAGATAAAGCAACAATATTTATAGGGGGGATAGCTAGACCCCCTAAGGTTCCCATCCCTACTTTAAAAGTGGCTTAATTGCATACAGAGTGTTAGAAATTTAATGCCGAGTTTAGTTAATTTCAAACCTTCATAAGTCGGTTTTTTTAAATGGAACACCCTGTATGTTTTTCTATATTCTGATACACAATTTTATTCTCTTTCGAATGGTATCAGGGTTCCCTATACCTATCTCTCCTAGTTTTTAAATTATCTACTATTTTTTGTGTAATCACCTAAAATCATATAATTTCTTGCGAGGATAGCTGTGGAATTTTTAGCAAAACTTCAAAACAAACAACTGAACTATCACTAGTTATTTATTATTATTTATTCACAGACATTGCAATGGGTTTCTAAGCAGAACATTTACAGTTTTTAATGAGACATCCCAATTTTCCACCAATGAGCAGAATAAAGTTAAGAAGAATTCTAAAAAATCAACTTCATACATACACAATTTTAATTATGTATGTTGATAATAATAATAATGCACTAAGATAAAAAAAAATGACTTAAAAAAGTCATAAGTGTTCAATATGACCCCCATTAACAGCTAAGCACTTGTGGATTCTAGAGATAACACCATCAGTCACCGCTTTTGCTATTTCAGCTGCAGGCAATTCATGGAACGCTCTCCGTATTCGAGCAATCAAATCCTCTTTTGAAGCAACGGGTGTAGAATAAACTTTTTGCTTTATTACTCCCAAACATAAAAATCTAATGGCGTCTCATCCATCTATCTTCAAACATTTCAGTCAGCTATTGATCGATTTGTTTGTGACAGTGAGGTGGAGCTCCGTCTAATTGATACCAACACTTCCTCAGTTGGTCTAAAGGTATATTATCTAAAAAATCTGCCACAACCGTTTGCAAAATATTGAGATATCTGGCGGCATTTAAATTTTCTTCGTAGATAAGAAATTTGGTTATCTTTAATTACACAAAAAACATTTACGCTAAATTTATTTTGAAAGTTTCTTTCTCGGATAACATGAGGATTTTCAGATGACCACTAATTAGTATTATGTCTATTAAAAATACCTTCTCTCGTAAATTTTGACTCGTCTGTCCATATAATATGTTGCAAAAATTGTGGATCTTCTTGGTATCGCACTAACATCGTTTCACAAAATTGTACACGTTGCACGGCGTCACCCGGATGAAGTGCAGAAAGTAGCTTAAATTTGTCTTAGCATCCTGTGAATGGACGCTCGTGAAATGCCTAAATCATACTCTGCGGCACGAGTTGAGGATTCTGGATGAACATTAAAATAGGCTAGCACATATTTATTATATTATCTTCATTTGAAGTCATTGGTTTTGGTTAAATTCTTTCTCCACAAATTCGACCATACTCTAGTTGATTTGCTGAATTTTTCTTAATCATTGGTGGCAAATTTGGCTATGTCTTATTAAAAACTGTACATGTTCTACTTATAATCCCATTGCAACGTCCGTGAATGAATAATAAATTTAAAATATCAGCATTTGAATAAGTATTGTTTTCCATATTTTATACACACTAAATTACACTGTCACTGCAAGAGTTTTGCTAAAAATTCCACAGCTATCCTCCCAAGAAATTACATGATTTTAGGTGATTACACAAAAAATAGTAGATAACTTAAAAACTAGAAGGTATAGGGAACAATGATACCGTTCGAAAGAGAATAAAATTGTGTATCAGAATATAGAAAAACATACAGGGTGTTCCATTTAAAAAAACCGACTTATGAAGGTTTGAATGAATGTTTTAAACTCGGCATTAAATTTCTAGCACCCTGTATGTAATTAAGCCACTTTGAAAGTATGGATGGGAAGCTTAAGGGTCTAACTATCCCCCCTATAAATATTGTTGCTTTATTTTTGTGACTATAAAATACACATGGTTTGAAGCTAGCCACTATTTCTCTCCGTTCTTTTGAAAAAAATTAAATATCTCGAAAACGGTTAATTTTAGACATAGGGAAACTTCATAGAAGTCCACACCTGAAATAACACGTAGAATCCAAAATTGCAATAATATATAGGGTGTTCCATTTAAAATAAGCAAGTTGATGGCGACTTTCGTTATAACCGGAAGTGGTACGTGGACGCCATTATTTTAGTTGAGAAGGGCATGCCCGAAACCCGGTATCCCAAATTTTCTAAATTCAAGTCGAAGTAGTATCTGAAATAATTCTATTGGGCCGTCACCGTGAGACACCCTGTATAACTGCATGTTTCTTAAGACTTACCTATCGATAGAAATTGCCACCAGATTAAATATGGAAGATGTCGAACACGTCACATCCATGGCAATGTAAAAATCACAAACGAATCCAGGCAAAGCCCATGTTCCGTTCACCTGAAAAAGAAACAAAAACTAAGACTGTAATTTCTACAAAGGATGTTGTTTTTTAATGTTTGGGAAACACCTACTCTGAGAACAGTAGTTACATCAAGTACTGCATTACAGATTAGCAGATCGCTCTCTGGCAGGAAGTGCCAAGCACTGCTTCATTCGTTGGTTGTCTCATCTAATCATACTGATTGGCTGAGAATTAATAAGTTTCAAATCGGTCTATATCCGATGATTCTACTGATCAATGGTCTTGGCGGTTTACTAGATATTGTGGATGTAATTCAACGCTGGAGGGGACTTCAGTGCGCAGAATAGTTGTTTCCCACATTATTGTTTGCTAAACATGTGTTAATAAAGTCAATGTAAAGAGAATATATTTCAATGACACGCTCGTTATTCACCTCTTTTTTATTGTGTTTTCAATTATAAATACAAAGCGAACCTTTTGTATGTACCTGAAAAATAAAACAAACCAATCAGGGGAACATTATTAATTGTAAACGGATTACCGCAGAATGGCATATTTGATTAAAAACGGATGGAATTTTAAAATGACAGACGTTATATAGAGGTAATTAAGTTAAATGTTCATTTAAAATTAAAAGCTCTCGCTGCTAAAACGTTAGCTCTCGTTACAACATGAAATCTATATTCTCCACTCCCAAATCTCATTAAATAAATAATTTTGAGTTTAATAGAGATTCGTATTCAACTCGATTGAATCTGCACAGCACACTCCTTAATGGGCTGATTTAGCATATTTTTTTAAGTTAATATTTAGAAAGTATACATCATAGTTAGTTAATGCCGAAAAGATCTGAATTTTTGTTCAACAATGTGTACTTTAAAATAATTAATGAAAACTTAGTGCCGGAAAATAGATGTCAATAAATAACATACAAAACTTTCTTCCATAGACAAAAATAACAATATGTAAAATAAACTGACAGAACAAATATCAAGTGCTAAAAACCAAGGCATATGTGGTACAGAAACATGATAAGTTACACGTTATTTGTCCCGTTGTTGCGCTAATCTACAGCACGGAATAAGTGAAATATTTTCTTCCACCAGTCTTCAATTCAAGCAAAAATAATTTGATAAAAATAACACTTAAATTTTGGCGCAGAAGTTCCTTGAATTATTATTTGTTTTTTTTAGAAAAGTACCTATAAACAAGGAAAAACTAAAACTATACATATCACAAATAAATAACTTGAGACAATAGTTAATTGCGCATTGAGCTATCGGAACAAAAGTTATAAATTAATTTTATTATTGAACGAATCTATTGCAAAAATGCATTTGCCTATTTAATAGTATATCTAACTTCGGAAAATCTGAAGAAAAACATGTTTTACTTGGGATTGCATTTGTCAAAAGACTAAGTTGTTTTGGTTTTAAACACACCCGATACAGGCTTTTTTTATAGGGTTTACTTCTGGGAATTTAGTAGGTCAGTCCAATTATAAATTTTCTGTGCATCTATCAATATAAATAAGCATCAGCAAGGTATTTATACTATCAAATTTCAATTTCGATTTGAAAAATCATAATGACCTTTAGTTGTTGAATCCTAAGTTATCAGATACAAAGATATAAAATGAGAGAATTCCAATTCAGTTTCATGCATGCAGTTACATTCTACGTAACCACTAAGTATAGAATTTGTTTTCAACATGCCTTCTTCATTCGACTAATAGGTACAACTTCCAACAGTTGCAAACCCATTCCAGATTCAGCATTTCCAATTCCGAACTCGTTAAACTAAATTAGCAGGAACGCCGATTGAGTATGTCGGAGTATCGTAAATTAAGTTTGTTTTTTCCCTCTCCTTGTGATCGAATCACTGTATTATACCTACTAATTTATTGACATATCACCATAACTGAAACTGAAGAAAGAACACATCGCATACGTTCTCTAGGTCCGAAAATAGTAATACTATATTCGATAAAAGAATAGAAAGCCGATAACAATGTAATAAACATAATGTAAACGGACAACAGTTTTAAGAAACGGTGCACTTTAATAGTCGACTACTTGTGTTGATAATAATTTTTTCATTTAACGATATTTTCATCAAAATTAAATTGATTTAATATCTATTCTCCAAACCAGTGATCAAGTGATTAATGATTTTAAATGTTTAAATAAAACTGTTTCTTATACTTTTTAGTGGATACGTATAAGGTTGACTATAATTATTTGTCTTCTCTTGGAAAGGGAGAAATAAGATCACTAATGCAGATATTATTAAACCGACACAGTATTGTACTAAAAATGTAATCAAATATACATTGGTCGTACTAACGGAAGCAGTATTGACCAATAATAAAACCTATTTAATAAGGTAAATCAATATCTTCCATATTTCAGGGTTTAAACGTATTTCAAGAAAGGACGCGGCATACATACTTAAAAAAATTCCCATAAAGGGTGTCCCACCTAAGAGGGATTCTTCTGTAATTCTGTAACTGTAAAATTAAAAAAAAATGGTTTTAGTAAAAGTTGTCTGGAATCATGTGGGCCATGTAAACAATTTAATATTGTTATATATAATAAATCAGCGGTCTAAGTGTTCTTCTCCTTGTGGTAATCCGAGTTTCAGTTTGTTTCGTTTAGCGTTTTGTTTTAGTTGTCGTTAGTAGTTTACTTTTGTTTGTCAAGTCACGTTTTAAACATGCCAGTAAATATTGACACTATCAGTCCCAGGCCTGATAAAATGTGAGAGAAAAGTAGTTTTGCAAGACCTTCTGGACGGTGTTACATAGCTACTTTTTCGGACTTTAGAAAAGAACCTGATTCTTCTGGAAAACTGTTAGATATACCCATGTATGGACAACCTTAAATCAGCCGAAAGGGCATTCAATTTTGCATTCACCCATGACAGTTAATATGAGTCATTCCTCTGAAAAAAAAAAGTTTTTCAACTCGTAAGATTATTAAATGTAGCTCTCAGTATTTCCGAGTCTGAATAACGTACACGTTTTGCTCACAGATGACAAGATAGAGTAATTTATGCCAAAATGAACTGTGAAAACTGCAGGTTTCTAACTCTTACGATTTAGACGCTATCTAGCCTCATTCAGAGAGCTGAAATTGTGATTTTTTTCAAAAAGAACTGATTATCTCGAAAGCGGTAAGTTTTAAACACCATGTACATTTATTAAACTCTACCTAATATTATCCAAGGATTTCAAAAATGTAATAATACAGGGTATTCCATTTAAAAGAACATATTTATGTAGCGCCCAAACGAAATGAAACATCCTGTAAAGCTAAAAATATTTTCTTTACATGCCCACATGATTCCAGGCAACTTTTATTAAAACCATTTTTTTATAAATTTTACAGTTGCAGAGTTATAGAAGAATCCCTCTTAGGTGGAACACCCTGTATAAACAATATAGGTCAAGTTTTTTTATCACAGTGTTTCATTTTCTGTTAATATCTAAAAAGATGACACCCCACTGCATGAACATATACAGAACTTTTTTCCATTAGTTCTAGTAGTTACATTTAGCCAGCAGGATAACAGGATTCGTCTCCTTTCGTCAAATTCCTTCTCGCTCACTCTCACAGAGATCCACGAACCGAAATACGAACAACATTAAACGCCTGCGAACGCAGAATAGACAACAACAATTAAATTATTTTTTTGTCAGCGTGCGCTCCCACTCGTAAATAACAAAATTAGCCGTCCAACATACATTCGCTTTTAGTTCAGCCACCTCGTGTGTAACTGGCAAAGTTAGGACCGACTCGAGGGCTATTAAGCGCCGTGCGTCGCGATGCATCCATTATAAATCACGGTTTAATAATAGAGGAATAATTAGCACCCAACTTCCTGGCCGGCCGCATTATGGGGTATCTGTTGCTCGTCGGCACTGAATAAAAACGATAAAGTCGCCCCTTAATTTATTAATGCCTTCTGCGGTTCCTGCACGTCCCAAAAGTAGCGGGAGAGAGCACGAAATTACGTCTGGAAGATTTAACTCCGCTTGATAGGATTTATTTACTTGGACCTAACTTCTGGATACATTAGTATGAGGATAGAGAGCGCTTCCGAACGCGTTCGCTCTTATATGATGCTCTCGAAACTACGCCGATAAGATTATGGAAATTTATGTTGAATTTTACACATTTGCAAGAGTTTTTATATAAAAAAAATACAGAAATGCAATGACATGTACAGGACAATTCACATAACATTCCAGCTCCCTTGTCTGATTTATCTTTCTTGATAGAAAGAAACTGTAAAGACCTATGTTTTAGGAAACTTTATTGCGTTTTGAAGATAAACAACAAAATGTTGCTTATTCAATGGGACACTTTTATACAGGGTGAGTCGGAAGGATCGCACCAAACTCTAGGAATGGATTCTCTACGTCAGAATAATAAGAAAAAACTCAAACTGCTGTGTCTGAAACGTGGACCACACCTGATGTAAACACTGATCATATCAACATTCCAAATTATGTATTTTTAAGAGCCGACCGGCAGGGCAGAGGTGGTGGCGTGGGATTTTTTGTTAGAAATTCCCTTTGTTGCAAATATTAGTGTAGATTTTGAGCAAATGTGGATTTCAATTAATTATACAGGTAAACGCAAAATTTTTGGTGTTATCTATAAACCACCTAAAGCTAAATTACTACTTAGTTCAGATTTATTAGATAAGTCTTTATCCTTTTTGTTACCTCAAGCTGAAAACATAATTTTCGGGGGAGATTTTAATCTTAATCTTTTAGTATCGAATAGCTATGGTATCAATTTATTTTCATAATCTTTTAGATTCTTACAATTTGGAACAGCTTGTTAATGAACCTTCAAGAGTTACTCCCCACTCATCTTCCTTACTAGACATATTGGTGGTAATTGTAACAAGAGACGAAGTATTAAATACTTTAATTGAACTGGAGGAAAACAAAGGGGCCGGACCCGACGGTATTCCCTCAATTTTTTTTATAAAAAATGTGCAGATTCCCTTTGTAACCCTCTCACTTTGTCAACAAGTCTCTTGAAGAAGGAGATTTTCCTGACACATGGAAGCAAGCTTTTGTGATTCCTATTTACAAAAAAGGTGATAAAAACGAAGTTTCCAACTATCGGCCAATTAGTAAATTAAATATTCTTAGTAAAATTTTTGAACGTATATGTTATAAGCATTTACTTAGCGCGGTTAAATCGTCTATAATTATTGAGCAACATGGATTCTTTCCACATAGATCTATCGAATCCAATTTAGTAATATACTCCCAATATATTACAAGTGCTATGGATAGCCAGATTCAGGTGGATGCCGTGTATACCGATTTTAGCAAAGCATTCGATAAAATTAATCATAATATACTTATATCTAAATTGTCTGAAATTGGTGTGCATGGTAACCTACTGAGATGGCTTACCTCTTATGTTTTCAACAGNAAATAGCAAATGAGTCTATAAAAATTACTAATGAATGTAAAAACTTAGGTCTGTGGTTTGATGAAAGTTTGAGATATTCCAAGCATATCATGCGATACTGTCTATGGACCCGCATTTTTAAAGACTGATTCGACACGTTTACAAAGAATTCAGAAAAAGAGTAATAAAAACCTTTCACGAGCAGTGAATAATAAACAATAAAAATTATCTTGTAATAGCTTCCGAATTATTAAATTAGGCTAACAAAAGGTAACCCAAAGTTTTGTTCAGCAGAAACACAATTTACAAAACCTCTTTTTTGATCGCTTGGTACTTTTTGTTCTTTTAGTTATTAACTGTGAAATCTAGCCGAAAAATTCATTGCACTAATGCCTTCCGAGGTGGAGAGGATCGCCATTACTGTCCATTTGCACAAAATCCTTTAACAGTGGAAGCGGCTATTAACTCCCACATTTTTACATTAAGGGACTTTTGTTTCTCTCCAGACTGAATAAGAAACGATAAAGTCGTCCTTTAGCCTGCTAATGCCCCCTGAGGTTCCCTTATATCCCGGAACAACAGACAAGAGAGTCACTCAATAACAAATTGTCTTAAATTCTTTATGACCTCCACAAACGGGTTCAAAACGCTCTGCTATACATAAACTCATTCTCTTTGAACGTTTCAAGTTTATGTTTAATGCTCGTGATATTATAATCAACTTTTAATTTGCAGAATATAGCCGCGTTAGAGTTAACTTCATTACGCCCGCACAAATAAAGCAAAAGCATCTACAGAGACGTAAATAAGCAAGTTGTCGGTCGATTCCTTCCACACGATTTTCCTCGATTTAACTGACAGACAGTAATCATGTTGATGCTTGTGTATCAGCAATGTATCTATAAATACACTATCGTATATGTATTGTATATATTCTTGAGAAGTAAGGGTTGTCATTGTTACATTTTTGCATCGCAATTTTGTCTACGATAATAAATGAACGAAGTTAACTAATAGTTAACTAAATTAACTAATAGTTAATTTAGAGATAGTTTAATAATTCTCATGTAAAGCATTTGTGAATTTGTTTGATAAATATTAAATACATTTGTGGTAAATCTACAAAGATTTATTTATAAACATTATACAATACATTTTAGAACCTGTTTTCCATATTTCTGCACAAAGCATAAACAACATAAAATCTCCATGCTCCCACACTGTGAACACCAAATTAAACAAACATGTAAAACAAAAGGATCTTGCTGAAATATGAGATTAACGATAATAAAGCGAAGTTTGTTGGTGTACAGTCAAATGTAAATATGGAAAGTACAGTATTACATCACGGTGCCTTGGAGAATAAAGCAAACAAAATCCAATAAATAGAAATTCTTCAAGATAAATTTTCCTGTTTACAATGTAACTGACAAAAGTGAGCTATATAAGATTTACTAAAGATAGAAACGATCATCCACCACCACCACCACCACCACCTTTACATTTGGACACCTGCGAATTTCAAATAATACGCTACATCGAGACCGCGGTGTTGCCGCTATCACGCATAATATGGAGGATAAGTTAGTCAACGACAGCAGTTTAAAGGAGAATTATTATAAATTATGTATCTTACAAGTACCTAATCGATTTCTACAAGCTGTCAAACGGTTCCTTAGATATCGGTTTACCGTTTATACAAGTTGCTGTGGAAACTGTTCGTCAATTATTGCGCATTCTAAGCGGAAAGACAAAAAAAATCTGCATTCTTATAAGACTCTGTACTAAATCGTGAAAAATTATTTTATTAATATCTCGTCTCTTAGGTATCCAAACTACTCATAATTTTTGAGGATTTTCTTCATATTAATAAGCTGATATTAATTTTTTTGAGAATATTTGTTCGTCAATTCCAAATCAGATAAACCTCCTTATAGTTCAGACGGTATTTGTTTCAAAAAGCCATATTTGGGTGAATCGTATATCCACGGAGATTAACTTTTGGCGGCACAATATGTTAAAAAAATTCGAAAAATGTCATATTTTTCTTCCTATTTAATTATGTATCTTTTCAAGAGTTGATTTTAGGCGAAAATGGAAGAGGAAAAAAATGTTTGCTATTAAATTTTTTACAAAACATGTTTAGTTACAAATCGAATGAATCATGATTACTATTGTAAAAATCGAAAAATCGCAAAAATGGGGTTAAAAAACAATACTTTTTAGGGAATTTTTTTGGTGTATTTAAATTGGGTGTAGGACCTTTATACTTGGCTCAAGAAAACTTCATGTTATGTAGAATCATCACACCAAATTTCATCAAAATCGGTTCGATAGATTTTGCATAATAATTTTGCAATCCAGATTTTGAAAAAAAATTTGCAAATTTTCAAAATTTTGCACAGCAAAAACCAAGGCCCTTAGATACTTGAAAATTTAATCACATATAGAAGGGCTCTCAAGCTTTCAAACTTTTTTTGAAAAATTCGAATCCGTCAATTAGGAGAGCTCTGGCGCTTGTTTAAACATTGGTCGAATTTTTGTACTTATAAACAATTAGAACTTTGTGAATATTCAATCAAATCAAATTTTTTAAAGCAGGTTTTAAAAGTTCTTGGAAAGACGCTTCTTTAAAAAAAAAAAAAGGAACGATTGATCAATTAGTTACGTAGTTATAGCCGATTCAATTTCGAGCAGGCCGAAGCGGCCGCGCTCTCTGCTTCCCCCACCACCACCACCCGTACGATTTTATTGAATTTCTCGCTTGCATAAATAACTTTAAACACGTTTTAAAGTAGGTTGCCAATGAAGAAAAGTATTGTAATCTTAGACCTGGTAAGTACTCGGAATACCAAAGGTATTTTTCGAAAAATTAGCCCGGATGTCCCAGTACATTTAGTGTAAATGACGGCTATAACTACGTAACTAATTGATCAATCGATCTGTTTTTTTTTAAAGAAGCGTCTTTCCAAGAACTTTTAAAACCTGCTTTAAAAAATTTGATTTGATTGAATATTCACAAAGTTCTAATTGTTTATAAGTACAAAAATTCGACCAATGTTTAAACAAGCGCCAGAGCTCTCCTAATTGACGGATTCGAATTTTTCAAAAAAAGTTTGAAAGCTTGAGAGCCCTTCTATATGTGATTAAATTTTCAAGTATCTAAGGGCCTTGGTTTTTGCTGTGCAAAATTTTGAAAATTTGCAATTTTTTTTTCAAAATCTGGATTGCAAAATTATTATGCAAAATCTATCGAACCGATTTTGATGAAATTTGGTGTGATGATTCTACATAACATGAAGTTTTCTTGAGCCAAGTATAAAGGTCCTACACCCAATTTAAATACACCAAAAAAATTCCCTAAAAAGTATTGTTTTTTAACCCCATTTTTGTGATTTTTTCGATTTTTACCATAATAATCATGATTCATTCGATTTGTAACCAGTCATGTATTGTAAAAAATTTAATTACAAACATTTTTTTCCTCTTCCATTTTCGCCTAAAATCAACTCTTGAAAAGATACATAATTAAATAGGAAGAAAAATATGACATTTTTCGAATTTTTTTAACATATTGTGCCGCCAAAAGTTAAGCCCACGTTTTTTTTATGCGCATAGAAAAATTTTCATTTCTAGTGATATTTGAAAGCCAAAAAGCCAAAAATCTCCGTGGATATACGATTCACCCAAACCAAAACAGATACCGCCTGGTCTATTAATATTTTTAATCAACCGGTAGAAAGCGGCACTTGTTGAAACTGGTCACAAATTTAGCTGATTATTGATTCGTACCCAATTGAATTTCGGACTACATAGGTACCTGTGTCAATTTGATTTTCATTTGGAGCAATGCTAACAACGGTAATAATTTACCGTTTAAATATTTGAGGTATGGCAGCGAGGAAAATTCGATGTAACCCAACAGCCATACAGGTAAATATGAATTTTACATGAACGTTTTTTTTTTCAGCAGAGGACTGTGGGCAGACGGGAACAGTTTACGCGAACAAGTAGATTAGAGTTGCGTTTTTTGTTACAGTCCCTAATAAATGATGACAAACAAACGAGACGACCTTAGTGTTTATCTCACGTAATTAAGTACTATTTACGTTCCTTTGAAAACTGTCTTTTTGAACGTAAAAATTTTAATTGCGGTACCATGGTCTAGACTGAAACTTACTTTTTGTTATATTTTGCAATTAGAAGCAAAAAAATTGGTAAAGGTATAGTAAATATATATAATTAACATGTCTTTTTTGATTGCCTAATTTCTTTAAAATTTTCAATACATAAGTTACTTTTTATCTGTTCTAATTTTTATCCAATTTATCCTGAACCTGGATAATCATCAAATCATATTTAATTCATTTTCAACATGATTGCGATTTTATTAAATGTAACTTTACAAAATTATACATTCAATGCATAGGTTCATTTACAAAATGGTTGTCTAATTCTAAA